CAATGCGACGGCGTACTGTGCATACTTTGAGGTATCCTCGCAATAACCTTGTTATTATACATCTTTGCCTTCCGAGGATACATCATGGGAATGCTGAAGTTTAGAACAGAGTCAGCGAACATTTTTGTGTGGAGTCATACCCTGGTGGCAACCATGATTGCTTTTATTATTAGATGATGCTTACACGCGTAATCATTCCATATTTGGAATTTGAAAATCGAATTCCCTTATATGGTAGGATGAAAATATCCTGTAAAATACCTAAATAAATATGGCACACTATAACTTATAGCGTTATGGTGACAGATGTATAATAATAGCAAGTACACTACGCCATACTATTAACACCGCTGGTTTAACAAATTGTGAGCTAACACTGATTCTGCATAGTGGAAGCACTAGTACTGGTCTTGACCCAAACACAAAAGTAATATAGAATGCGATATGTCCAACATTTTTAGATATATTTTGTGTGAAAACATGTGTTTGGCATGTCAAACATAGACAGGAATATTTCTAACTATAGTGAAGCTGACCTGCATGTCAAATCACAGAAGATTAACTAAATACGTGTGGAAACACACAGACAAGTGGGCGGACGTATTGATTTTAAGGGCAATCCTAGCTGGTAGCGAATTTGACAATTGATATCACAAAGTACATATATTTCATGATGTGAAGTGGATTTTTGTTGTGTTAATTGTTCTCCAGGATTAATTTGCCAGTCGCTCGTTGTCTTTTGCTGCCTCACATTTTTCATTCATTATTCCAGCAAACACCTGGAAACCAAATGTCGGCATCCTCTGTTCTATGTTTTTGTCATATTACGTCAAACCCTGCAAATAAAAGTGTGCATGGAATCATGGGAAGAAACGATGTTCATTGCCGTGTGATAACTGTCGTAAAAGTGATTGACAGGTCATACTTGTTCACAACTCTGGAGGGACAATTCTAATCTACCAGGTGTGCTTGTGATTTACATAACAAAGGATGTTTACGATTTACTGAGTTGCCTGATTGAGACAAGACCACACTCATATTGGGTCATATGGGGACCCAGGTGGTGTACCTGAATCTAGGGAATTCATGCCTACAAATAGGCTAGACTGAGGACAGTATGGGTCCAGCATTTCAACTACCCTGTGTGTTGCTGCTGCGATATTGTGATACAGGCTTCAATCATCATTCCATTAGACTTGTATGAGACTGCCCTGCGATCCCCTACTATCAGCGGTGCCCTCCAGAATAAC